TGGTGGGACCAGTGTAGCTATATTTGACTGGTGGATGAAACAACGTTATAATGCTAGACCGAATGAATAAGTTTCGAGACTATCGATAGACAATATAGAAGAAAGCGAGCCCGAGGTGATGTAAGGAAGGATGGTCGAATTCACCCAAGTGGGCTAATATTAATGAATTTCCAGTGTACTTGACTTCCGAAAGATTCTAACATTCTAGTTTGAATGTAGTTTTGGCCTAACACTCCCAAAGGGATTCTAAACCAAGGTTTGTCGACGAATGTAATGCAAAACCCAGCAGACTCATACTTAGCAGAAGTGACCCAATGGAACCTCTGGCTGAGGCAAAGCATTAATGCTGTTACTAGATCCTTCATTTGAGATGATGAAGTCTTCTGGGAGGTAAGGCAGGATTGAAGTCATGAAGAAAAACTGGGTTTTGAAGAATTCTTTAATGAAATATTGTGGAATGACTCTCCATTTCGAAACCTTGTAACGACCTGATCTAGAAAGAGGGTCTGAATATTCTCTAAACGAAGGAACTACTTAAAAAAGTGTTAGTTTCTCTTTATGCATAGCTTTTATATTCCATTTCCTCAGTAGTTCACCAAACTTTTTCACAGTACAGACGAAAACTTAGTACAGTTTCATCGGGGTCGCAGAACGGTGAGCCGAGGACTTCTTTGCACAATTCAACGGTCTTCCTTACGCAACAATCTTGCTTTGGTTTCCGGTAAAACCACATCACGAATTCCTTCCAACCAACTTTCCCTTCGAAATGAATAGTCAGGCCACAGGATTGAGGTCACTTTATTGAGTGATATTTCTAACCAAATACGCACTAATTCAGCAGGAATGTCAAATTCACAAACCCAAACAGACATTCGAGACTAAGCAATCCCAGCCGTTCATTAGGTCATTAACTCTTAATGACCCCAGCGTAACGGGTTCGGACTGGTGGTCTCGTAAACTGGCTTTCACGCATACAGGCTTAAATATCATCAATTCAAGCAGGATTGAGGTTGTTTGACCTTGTTTTCGTAACATGGTCATATTGGTAGGAAGATTTAGAGAAAAGCACCTAGTCCGGGGTCCATTGTCTCCATGATCATTTCCAAAGTTAAACCATGGACGCAGTATATTTCCAAACGTTTCGCGACCACACAAAAGGCCACACCATCTTGGTCTTCATACCCTCAGGCAGGATTACTTATGGACTAATGATGAAGAATGTCACGTGGACTGTGTTAGAGCCAAGCGAATGCGGAACATCTAAAATCAGCCGTCTTCTCCTAGTGAAACCCACCCACAAATCTCTTGATTATGCAATTAAATACGAAAATAAAGTGTTCATAACAATATTATATCGATAGATTAAACAAACAGGCTATTTAACGAAATATATTAATTTACCATATAAATTTGGCTAAATGTGATGATGAATAAATTAATCTCTCCGAAACTCTGTTTTCTAGTCACTAGCATTAAGCCCTTGCTACAAGAATGGAATGAGCCTCGTCTCATCTTCATGTAGACTGATGTAAACAAATCACATAACAATATTTTTTTTGAGGTGATGAAGGAATATAAGTTGAACTTTTCCCACAATGCTCAGTTTAAGACTAGCTCTTCCATATAATTTCACATATCCTTGCTTCCCAAAAGGTATTCTCATCCAGGCTTAACTGGACTGCCGTTTTGGCCTCGACTAAGTCTCATCAGCGCCCTCAGTGGGACTCAAAACCTGGATGAGAATACCATATTAGAAGCAAAGCTATGTGAAATGTCATAGCATTGTGGGAAAAATTATACTATCAGTCATCTATCATTTTAACGAAATAGCGAGAACTTAGTACACTTTCATCGGGGTCGCAGAACGTTGAGCCGAGGACTTCTTTGCACAATTCAACTCCAACAATTGCAACTCCATATCTACTGGTGGGACTGTGAAACGTAGCTAAAATGAAGAGATAGATAGGGATCCATGCGAAGCATGACACTAAAGCAGAAATTCAAGTTAGCACATGAGTGCTGTATGGCTATACAAATTACCATTACTACCATAATTCAGACTGTCCTGTAACTTAACACTTCATATTCAAATGAGGAACTTGTGTCATTTGCCTGCAGTTCATAAGTTAATTAGATCAAAATTAGATATGCAATCGATCCGTATTATTTTTTTTCGTATATATAAAGACCAAGTTGATGTTATATTCGCCTTTTGTTGTACCGAGTTCGTGTTCCCTCGTAGTCGCAGCCTGGTCGTGAACGTCTATGATAGTAACCAGTTCTGCGTCCTATGCAATAGTACTTATGACACTTTTCGCATCAAATAGTTGAATTGATACATTTTCTAACTCCAATGAGCCTTATCTGTCTTATTTGCTAATTTTACGAAGTTAGCTCGGTGTAATGTCGTCGCTGCTCACTGACGACGCCTCCAACACGATTGATGAGACGTCCAGGAAGTCACCAATTTAACGGTCCGATTCTCGAAATAATTATAAC